CAGTCCCTGTGCTTTGCTAAGCTTGTTCTAAGTAGGTGCTTTAGACCACTGAGCCATCTCACCAGCCCCTGCCCTCCCATTTTAATGGCTTTTTGAGTCAAGGTCTTCCTGGGTGGCTCTGGCTGTCCTTGAATTCCTTATATAAGCCAGGCTGGCCTTGAACTGGCGGCAATCCTCCTGCCTCAGCCTGAGACCTGGGACAACAGGAGTGCACCGCCATACCCAGCATCCATTTCCCACTTTTTCCCCAGTGATAAACAAGGGTGTGAACCACAGGATGGGGTGCAGAAGAAGCAGAGCGGAGGGCCCCATGTGAGGGAGGGGTGCCCTGGGGGGTCCTGGAGGGGAGATGGTGCAGGTCACACTGCAGCGTGGGGAGTGGAGGGCGGGGGGGGGGCAAGCTGTGGATTCTCCTCCTGCTCTTCTCTGCCTTGCAGCGTGATCCTGGAGAGTGACCCCCAGCAAGTGGTGCAGAAAGTGAACTTCAGGGTGAGACTTCTACCCCCTACCTCTGCAGGCCATCTCCCATGCTCTGTGGCTTGTCCCCTCCGGACAGCCACTGCAGGACCCAAGCTCTGGCCAGGCAGAGTGGTGTACACCTGTCATCCCAGCACTCAGGAGGAGGCTGAGGCAGGAGGATCATTGTGAGTTTGATGCCAGCCTGGGCTACATAGTGAGACCTTGTCTCAAAAAAGCTAAAAGCAGGGCTGGGGACATAGTGTACCTGCACAAGCACCTGTCTGACAAGCACAAGGCCCTGAGTTCAACTCTTAGTACAAAAAAAAACAACCCGGGAGACCTTCTTGTCCTCTCCCTGCAAGGTCCCAAACACCTCCCCACTCTGCCTGACAGGAAGTGTAGACAGGAAATCAGGACATCCTCAGGATACCATGCCCTTAGGTCTTGGGGTACAGTAGTGCCCCGGATTCTGGCATCCCCAGGAGGGGTAGCAGGACTTCTGTGGACCTGGGACCCAGGAGCAGCTCTGGGCCTTGCTGTACCCACAGCCCACAGCCCCCCTCCTCACCCCTGTACCCTTGCCACAGGCTGACCCCTCCCCAACTACCTCCCTTGCAGGCAGATGACAGCAGTCTGGCAGAACAGAGCGTGGCCCAGGTAGGTCCTCTGATCCATCCACCTTGGCCAGAAATGGGCTGGAGACAGGGGAGATGGGCATCCTGGGGGACTGTGAAGGCCGGGAAGGGCTTCTGGGAAGGGTCACAGACACTGCCTGCTCCTCAGGTGGGCATCTGGGTGCTTTGGGAGGAGAGGCAAGATTCCTCCTGGTATCTCTAATATATGTTTTCAAACTCAAGAGCTTGCCCTTGCCAGGCAGGCATTTATATGGCTGAGCTATCTCTCTTCCACCTGCTCCTTCTGCTCCAGGCTGACTTAGCTGAATGGGACCCAAAATGAACCGCCTGAGTTTTATTTTCTTACTGGGACTGAACTCGGGACCTCGCACTTGCCAGGCTGTTTTGTTTTTAAGATGTTCTCATTATGCTGCCTTGAACTCCTGGGCTTTAAGTGATTTTCCTGCCTCAGCCTCCTGAGTACTTAGAACCTTAGCACACAGCTGTGTTAAAGGACTCAGTCTCATTCTAGGCTGGGCATGGTGGTGCACGCCTGTAGTTCCAGGACTTGGGAGACTGAGGCAGGAGGAGTGCAGATTCAAGGCCGGGCTGGACCACATAGTGAGATCTTGTTTCAAAGTAAAATAAAAATCAAAAATTGCTAGGGATGGGGCTCAGTGTTCCCGGGTTCAATGCGTAGTACTGCAAAAGACAAGCAAACATCATGGCAGGATCTAACGTTCCCCACTCAGCGTCCAAACCCTGGTGCCTGAGCGGCCCTGCTCACACCCTCCCTGCATGGTCCTGACTGGACAGAGAAGTGTGGCTGGGGCAGGGTCTGGAACCCGAGGCCAGCTCAGCTCTCGGGCTGCATGGACTTCCTCTTAGGCCGACTGCCTGCCCTCTCCCTCGCCTGCGAGTCTCCTCTGGGCTCACACTAACCCTGCTTCCCTGGAGCTTCACTCCCGGCGCCGACTGTCCTGCTCAGCATCCCGGCCAGCTGCTGGGTGCCCAGCCCCTGCACTGCCCTCCGCGTCCACGTGTATCCACATGCCCTGTGGGAGTGAAAGCAGCCGATTGGCCATTTTAAGGGGGCACAGCACTTGGGGGCATTGAGCAGAGCAGATAGGAACAAAGTGCTGAGCGGGGTGTGGTGGTGGTGCATGCGCTAACCCCAGCCCTGGGGAGGCTGAAGCGGGAGGATCGCTAAGAGGCGTAAGCCAGCCTGGGCGACATAGTGAGTTCAAGGCCAGCCTGAGCTGCATAGCGAGATCCTGTCTCAAAAGGACAAATAGAGAGGAGGAAGCAATGATTAGCAGCAAATGGGGCATAAAAATGGGAACGATTCCGCTAGAAGTTAAAGGGCCTCTTGTCCCCAGAAAAAGGACGAGGGACATAAACAATGTGGGCTGGAGCCTCCTCCTCAACCCACTCCCTGGGGGTTGGCACTCAGGGGCAGCTGGGGCCGGGGCGGCCGAGCCCTGCTTCCGCGGGCACGTGGCCCAGAGGACAGGCATCTGCGTGGCACGGAGGAGGCAGGGCGCCGCCAAGGCTGCAAATGCAGGAACCAGAGAGCTGGGCGCGCCGGCCCTTCCTGTCCGCCTCGGGCCTGGCCTCTTTCAGGCGGGCACAGATGCGCTGCTGCCACCTAGTGACCCGGGGCTGCAGGGCGGCCGGGGGAGCCTGGCCGCCTCCCAGCCAGGAAAGCCGTTCGCGGTCTCCTCGACTTTCTCTGTACCTCCTGCACCACTCCAGGTTCTGCAGTCCGCCAAGGAACAAATTAAATGGTCGCTACTGAAGTGAAGGCAATCCTGACCCGATTCCAAAAGCCCCAAGGGCTCTGTGCGTTGTCCTTCCCAGCGCCCTGGCCCGCCCCGGGGACCCTGCGGGCCAGATGAGCTGCCCTTCCTAGCGTCCAATAAACCTGCTTTGTCTCCTGCCAAGGGTCTCCTCCTTTCTCGGCCTGAGGGTGGTGTGTTCGGACACGGACTCCTATGCGATATCTAGCGCCACTCAAACACGCCCCTCCTTGTGGCTGTGAGCTGGGGAGCCGGAGAAGGGCACTGTCACAGTAAGGCTGCGACCGGATTCCCTGGCCCCGGAGCAGTCCGAAGGCCAGGTATGGGTACGTGACTCTTTGCCTTAGCAGGCGTGCCTGCTCCTGAGTCCCAGAACCTGCGGCTTCTCCATCTCTCCGACGCTGGCACTCCCAGCGTCCCGGTTCCCGAGACCCGCGCTGGTCTGGGGTTACCGGCAGCCCTGGACAGCACATTTTACCCCTAAACCGGGGCGGGGCGGGGCGGGGCTCCCCCTGCCCCGCCCCCGTGGGCACCCAGTGCAGCAGGAAGCCCCGCCCTAGGACGGCATCCGCGATCCTGCAGCGCCACCTGGAGGGAAAGGTGGAAAGCGCCCCCTGCCAGTCGGTTGCCCTTAGTAACCCCGCGCCTGTGTTTCCCCACCCCACCCCACCCCACCCCACCCCCAGTCTTCTAGGGCTGGACGCAGGGCGTTGCCCTAGCAACCAGCACGCCTGACCTGTCCTGCGAGTTCTGCGCCAGTTTGGGCTCGAGTGAGCCGTGCTTGTGAATAAAAGTGGTCCTTGTTACCGGATCCTGTACCGTGAGACTTCAGGACCTGATATTCACAGTCGATTTTTTGAGACATGGTCTTGCAGTGTCGGTCAGGCTAACTCGGAGTTCACTACATATCCCAGACTGGCCTTGAACTTTGGCGACCTTCCTGCCTCAGCCTCCCAATACAAGTGTGCCTAATTACAGCCGGCTTTGAATTTGTATATTTGCGCTATTAGAGAAAATGACAGCGATATGATAAAGTAAGCTGTGTGTATATAAACTTTTCCAGTAAGTTGTACAAAAAAGCAACTCGAAACAGATGCAGTATGTAATTAAATGGCGCAGTACGGGGGCCCGGGTGGCGACAGGACTAAAAATTCTCCAGAAATACTCCAGCAGAGTTGGGACTACACCCAGCGCCTGGCTCCGGCCAGCGCCCTCCCACGACCTCAGAGATAGGAGGAGCGATCGTTTCCAGGCAACCGGGCTTTGCAGGGGACGATGGAGCTACTAATGGGAGGGTGGGGCAGCGAAGACCGGCTCCCACGTCCCGCTCCGCCGAGAATACCTGAACTAGACACGGGGTGCCAGTGCCTGCCGAAGCCTACGCAGCGCTAGCCCCTGGGGGACACTGGGTGCAGAGGGTTCCCTGCACCCTCTACCCGCGGGGCGTTCGAGTTCCGGCCCACATGGGACAGCTGTCCACCCTTCATTCCCCGGACCCCCAGAACTCCGCCTCTGCAGCCACTCTCGCTGCGTCCCAGACGCAGGTGCCCACGAGCTGAGTCGGCAGCAAGCGTGAGGCCCCAGCGTCACCCACCGGTCGGGGGTGATGGGGCCTCTCTTCGTCCTTCTCTCTGTGCCCTCGGACTCGGAGGTCCCGAACGTGCGTCCGGGCGCCCCTTTTCTCCCACTAAATGACACCAAGGACAGGTTCAGAGCGGAGATTCAGAGAGTCTGAACCCAACCGGGGATACTCGAGGACACACTGGTGTGACGTGCGCCTCCACACATTTTTATACCATCTGTTATAAAACCAGACGCAGCCCCGCTCCAGCCCCCCCCCCCCGGCCCACGGCCTCCAGCCGATTGGTTGGCAGGAAGGCAGGGCTGCTCCGATTGGCTGATTGGCTTGCGTCCCGCCAGTGACCGACCGCGCCAAGGTGGGGCGGGGTCTCTGCGGAGCTGCGCGAATGGGTGAAAGAGGATCCCCCGGCCCAGATTCTCACTTTGAAACTGTATAGTGGGAAATCCTGCCCCAGAATTCCCAGTGAGTAATTCCTAACTCCGGGTCCTGGGGCAATTTACCCAAAACACACTGGGCACCGTCCTATTCTTTCCTTCCAACCCTCGTCTCATTCACGCAAGCGTATTTGTTTTTTGTTTGTTTCAGACAGAGTCTCGCTATGCAGTTCAGGCTGGCCTGGAACTTTCTATGTAGCCCATGCTGGCCTCGAACTCACGGCGATCCTCCCTCGGCCTCCTGAGTGCTGAGATGACAGGCAGGGGCCACTATGGCCATTTATTCTATTATTTGAGTTTGCCTTGAAACACCTACCAGACTCCCAGTGGGGTGGGTGGGGCTTAAAAGGAGAGATGGGATTTGACAGATGTTTCAGAGTAGAAATACTGGTGGGAGGGGCCGAGGAGATAGCTCAGTAGAATAAGCGCTTGCCTGCCGGCGGTGCCTGGGACTGCCGGAGCCCGGGCTGAGCGGGCGCCTGCACACTCCTGGCCGCTCACGGGAGACATGCCTACAGCTCTAACTTCAGCTGAACAGTGGAAGGAACTCCCGCTGCTTACACTTCAGATGCAGCTTGCTGTTTCCTGAGGTCTTTTTCTTTTCAATTAAGACCTACAGAAAGGGGTTGAGGGTATAGCTGGGGCAGAGAGGTTGCCTCGCAGCATGGCCAAGACCCTGATTCCATCTGCAATGCAAAAACAAACAACAACAACAGCAACAAAAAAGCACCAAATTACATTTTAGCGTTTGTCTGTTTCCTATCATGCCCATCCTAGATGAGGACCCCAGGAAACGAGAGTGAGTGTGGAAGAGTGAGCCTCAAAATGGACTCTTTAGCAAGGAAGGCTGTAGCGATAAAATAATGAAATCGCCGTGCCTGCAGTCCCAGCCCTTGGGAGGCTGAGGCAGGAGGATCCCTGCAAATTCGAGGCCAGCCTAGGCTACATAGGCTGTCTCAATAAGAATATTATTAGGGGCTGGTGAGATAGCTCAGCGGTCTAAAGCACCTGCTTAGGAAACCTCAGGCAGGCGCAGACCGCGGTTTGATCCCCAGCACCACATGCCATACCAGCTGCGCCCTCAGGGCAGGCTGAGCCAGCCACGAATAAATAAATA